TAACTAACTAAACGATCACCGTATATATTTTCAAACAAATCAACGAATTCTTCCAAGATTTGTTGGGCAACATTGGCTTCAGTGCTATAAGACTTTTTGAATGATAGAAGCCTTATATCTGCGTGTATTAAGAAGAAATGGTAGTAATGTTCGTTACCAATGCAATTCTTTAGGACAAATATACCTATATACAATAAGAACTGCCTAACCTCTGTAGCTTTCCAATTGCTGATTTCATCTAAACTTCTACATATTCGACCGAACTCTGAAGGAACTAAATTGGAAAGAAATGTAATTTTTTCGTTAACTTTGCTTACGTTTATATTGCCTTTTTTAATCAACAATTGAAGAAAATTTTTACATACACCAAGATCTACAAGGTGCATTGGGTCTAAAGGAAATTGGGAAACCATTTTGAAATTTCCTAATTTCCTTATTCTAAAATGCTTTCTCTAAATTTGAAAGGATTAATGTGATGTGATCTGTCACTTCTATTTTTAAAAGATTGGTCAGTTCTTAAATGTTTTATTTGTTTTGAAAAACAAACTCTCCTTTCTTTGTAGTCACCCACTTGATCACATTTAGAACAACTACTTTCTTCAGTGTGCGACTGCACACCTGTAACAAAAGCTCGAGCGGGAGCATCGCAGCAAAACAAACGAATATCAAATTTCTTCTTTACAGGATAAGTACCAACCTGAAGACCATTTTTTTTTTAATAATTTACTTCTTCAGCTCTTTTAAAAAATCATTAATGCTCCAAGGTTTTTCTGTTCCAGAAAAGCACGCAATTGTAAATGACAATTCGTTTGGAAAATTAACTATGGATGCTAGAATAGTCCAAAATATTTTATTGGAATTCTTGAATAATTTCAGGCCATCTATTCCCACATGAAGCACAATATTTTTTTTTGAATTTTTCTCAAAATGATTTTGTATTCCTCTAWATAAAGAAGATCCACTTATAATCGTTCGAATATTTACCTTTTTCGGCTGGTACCTAGGAGACTTTAGCCGTTAGAAGTAAATCTGTGTAACCTATTTTTCGCAACGTTTGCAGAAGATCGGTTACGGTATCATAGGACAGCCTATTTCTCAAAGCCCAAGCTTTTAATTCTAAATTAAATGAATTATTTTCTATCACTTTTAAAATTTCGCTATCACTATTATTCCTATCACTAACATAACTATCACTGCAATTTGAAGAAAAATCAAGGGAGCTTAGTGAACTGCATCCATCCACATCAGGAAATTTTAACAAATTTAGATGCACTAAGATTAAAAACATTTTTTTCCGGCTCATATATGCACTAAATGTATTTTTCTTCATATTTGTTATTTTCTATACTCACCCTTTTTCCAAATTTCCYTTGTAGACACACTTGTAGACACAAAAAAGAAATGAAATTAATAGATTTAAATTAAATTAAATTTTATATAATTTTGCATAAATATGCACAAGCACAAATCTTCACAATTCTCAATTATCGACGCGTTTGTAACCGAATTTTTTTTTTCTTCGAATTCAATTTGTCACAACGAACAGGCAAACGTCAAATTCACGGTATCATGCTGTACGCTTTCACATCCATCGTTTTCAATAAGCGGTGACGGGTTTGTCTTCTTTTGTTTTATTTTTGCTTAACATCTGTTGAGTGAAGAGCTTATAATATAAAACAAACAAAAGACACAATAGATTGACTTCTTGCTCATTTCAAAAATTGTGTAAAAGTATTGGAGTTTCGGTCACGCAAGTTTTGCTATCCACATAAACATACATGCAGTCTCCAGATGCTGAAGAAAGCCATTGTCCGTGAGTGGGCCAAAATACCGGCAAGTCACATTCGGACAGCTTGCGATTCGCTTTTTGACCGTCTCAAGGCCATAGTTAAAGCAAAAGGTGGTCATGTCGAGCAAAAGAGAATTGGTCCTGATTTTATGATTATTTTCACACATTTTGTACTTTAAAATAAATAAAAATAATTTTCCAAACCGAATTTAAGACTTTTAGTTATATAAGAGATGAAAATTATTAAATTATATAAGAGATGAAATTACTCAAATATATAGTCTCAGTTCAATAAAGATCTTTATTTTTCCTCCATCAGCGATAAGAATTTAAAAATTCTTATTGAGTTTAATCGGGTATTAATTTGATCGTATGAGTACGAAACTAAACGCTGTGCTGTGTAATAACTGTTATTCAAATAAATATTTAGCGGCTATGAATCGATGCACACAAGGTCAATCAGGTGACCAAAAAAATTACCTTCAAGGATTTCTTTGAAGATTGAAAACAGAACACCTTCYCGATAATACGTCGCATTTACTTTGACGCCAGGCTCGATGAAAACAATTGGAGAGCGCCCATCTGTGGTGACTGCGGTTCAAACCATTGTTTGTGGCGGGTGCTGCCTCCTGGTGGAAAACCGATGACTTAGATTCTCGTATGAACGGTCGGTCAAGTAAACCCTATCGTTTTGAGAGTTAACGAATTGCTCAATTGGAACAATTTTTTTTGTCAGAAAACACCAGAAATGCGATGGACGGGACTGGGAATAAGGCGAGTAGGTCCTTATGGTGTTTACTACAGTGACCTTATAATAGAGTGCAAGATTTGTGTGGGATTTGTGGTGGGAGAGAGACTCCATCGCCAAGTACTCCGGTGAATGGACGTCTAGCCACAGTCCGCATAAAAGCGAGGTTCTTCAACATATCGCTGATGTGCTCCCACGCCCCGACAATTAGAAGGACGATGTGATCAAAGCTGCGTTATGAGAGCTGCCCCCGCCACAATGTCAAAACCGTGCTTGGCGACTTTAACTCCAGGGTGGGTAAAGAAGGTATCTTTGGCACCACGGTCGGTATATTCAGCCTCCATGACGAAACATCTCCAAATCGACTTCCCCGGGGCCCGACATATGGTTATCTGTCGTACCAGCTTCTAGCACAAGAAAATACATCAAGCTACCTTACTGTCTCCGGACCGAAAAGCCACCAACCAGATCGATCATGTTGTGATAGACGGAAGACACGTCTCCAGTGTTTTAGATGTGCAAACGCTCTATCTTGTTGCAGCCAAGATTCGCAAGTGTCTCTGTGCAGCAAGACGCGTACGTCTAAAAAGACAATTAAGGTTTGACGTCGAGAAGCGGCAATAACAACAGACAGAAGAACRATTTTCTACTCGACTTGCACTCCTGCTATCAGAGAGCACTCGTCAACAACTAGGTATAAAGGAACTGTGGGACGGCATTTCAAACTCTTTACGTACAGCTGCAACCGAAACCATTGGTTTTCGAAAAATGCAAAAGAATGCTCGAACATTCTCAGATAAGATGCGGCTGCTAACAGAAGGCTTCAAAACCAGAGCACACTACTCTTGTAGAACTCTCATAGGTGATCTAGCGACCCAGAGCATACTAAAATTATGGACACTTCTCCAGCCTGCTGAATGACAGTGAAAGTACAACGCAAGGAGAAGGCGAACCGTTTCCCCAATAGATGACATAGGTGTTCCATTGTCCGACCATGAAGTAGTTCGAATAGCAATTACTCRCCTGAAGAACTACAAAGCAGCAGGGTCCGACGGGTTTCCGGCCGAGGTATTCAAACACGGCGTCGAAGAACTGAAAAGGAGCATGCATCAGCTAAAATATAGTCGGACGAAACCAACGAAACAACAAATAGAATTTAAGTGTGCTCTGCCCAATCCACAAAAAAGGAGACCCCACAATCTGTGCTAACTACCGTGTGATAAGCATCTTTAACATCGCGTATAATGTTCTATCGAGCGTATTATGGGAAAGATAAGTCCACAAACTGAGTGGACCTTCTCAGTGTGACTTTAGACCTGGCTAATCAACAACCGATCAGGTATTCACCATGCGCCAAATTTTGGAGCTGCTTTCGGCAGCACGAAAAGGAGATACCTTTATGCCGCGATGTCTGAATTTGCTAGTTAATACGGCTGTGTAAACTGACGTTGAGCAACACCAATAGCTCCGTTAGGATCRGGAAGGACCTCTCAGACAATGGCGACTCTCTGCCGTGTGACTTTTTCAATCTATTCTTGGAGCAAATAATTCGAACTGCAGAACTTAATSAAGCAGGTACAATATTTTATAAGAGTGTACAGCTGTTGTAGGAGGCCATGATATTGATATCATCCCGCTCAACACCCGCGCCGTTASTTCTGACTTCTGCAGACTGGACAAGGAAGCAAAGCAAATGGGTCTGACCGTGAATGAGGGCAAGACGAAATACCCCTGTCATCAAACAAACAGTCGTCGCTCTCGCGACTTGGCTCTCACGACACTGTTGACAGACATAACTTTGAAGTTGTAGATAATTTCGGCTATCTTGGAACAAGTATAAACCACCACCACCACCACCATGTCAGCATGAAAATCCATCACAGGATAACTCTTGCTAACATGTGCGCCTTTGGTCTGAGTAGGCTATTAAGGAGTCCTCTCTCGACGAACAAAAACCAAACTCTACAACTGTGAATCGACGTTGCGAGTTTTCGAGAGAAAGGTTAAGCGAAAGATTTATAATCCTTTGCGCGTTGGTCACGGAGAATATCATATTCGATGGAACGATGAGCTCCACGCTCCCTACTCGACGCAGTTCCCACCGAGGGAAGGAGGATGAAGRAGAGGATGAAGAAGACCTCCATTCCGTTGAAAGGACCGAGTGGAGAAGGGCCTGGCTTCGTTTGGAATATGCAATTAGTGCCACTTAGCGAAAAGACGAAACGACTGGCGCGCGTTGTTAACTCGGTTATAATCGCGTAAGCCAATGAAGAAGAAGATGAAATAATTTATAATTTATTTTATAATTTTACATATGTAAATAAATTCAATATTTAATTTTTGCTGGACTCCTCCTCTTCGGCTAAGATAATAAAGCGACATTCAGCTGTGGAAAGTGCTCTTGCTGAGAAGGTATATATTTTAAAATTATTTAATTCTTATTTTAAATTTCAGATGCTTGAACGTGCTGACATACAACCGCAAAACCAAATGTTGCGGGAGTGTAAGGTACTCTCAGCAAAAGCCACCGCGGTGTAAGTCGCATATTAAAAAGCTTGCTCACCATGTCACCTGACACACAAAGCTCACTCTGATGCTATGGTAAGTTTGTCTTTCTTTCCATATACATATATATACTACTAGCTGACCCCGCAGCCCTTGTCCTGCGTGAAATTATGTGTTTTGAAATGAAAATAAAGTTGAATTTAACAATGTAACGCAGCTTGATGAACAACATTTTTTGGTTTCTGTTCCGGTGTACAAAAAAGATGGTTTTCCAACTCGTCACCGTAAACATAGCATTTTATATTTGTATTTCTGATAATTTTAAAAAAAT